GATGTAGGTAGGTGGTCGGATGGGTTTGGTGGTTGGTGCTAGTTGGTGGTTTGAGTGGCCGGGTCGGTGGTCAGTGTGGGTCGGTGGTCAGTGCAGGTAGGTGGTCGGAGGGGGATGTTGGTCAGTGCGGGACTGAGGTCAGTGCGAGTCAGTGGTCGGAGTGGGTCGGTGATCAGCGCGGGTCAGTGGTCAAAAGGGGTCGGTGGTCGGTGGGAGTTGATGGTGAGGGGGGTCAGTGGTTGGTATGGGTCGGTAGTCGGTGGTCGGGGCGAGTTGGGGGTCGGAATGAGTAGGTGGTCAGTGCGTTTTTTGTGCAGGTAGATGGTCAGAGGCGGTCGGTGGTCGGTGTGGGACTATGGTCGGTGAGAGTCAATGGTCGGAGGGGGTCGGTAGTCGATGGTCGGTGCGGGTGGTTGGTGGTTGAAGAAGTCAGTGGTCGATGCAGGACGGTGGTCGGAGGGGGGTCGGTGGTCGGTGAGGGTTGGTGGTCGGAGGGGGGTCGATGGTCGGTGCGGGGTGGTGGTCAGTGCGGGTTGGTGGTTAGTGCAGGTTGGTGGTCGGTTCAGGTCGATGGTCGGTGCGGATTGATGGTCGGTGGGAGTTGGTGGTCAGAGGGGGTCGATGGTTGGTGTGAGTCGGTGGTCGGAGTGGGTCGGTGGTTGGTGCGGGTAAGTGGTCGGAGAGGGTCGGTGATTAGTGCGGGTCGGTAGTCAGTGGTCTGTGCGAGTTGGTGGTCGTAGTGGGTCGGTGTTTGGTGCGGGTCGGTGGTCAGTGCAGGTAGGTGGTCGGATTGGGTCGGTGCTCGGTGCGGGACTGAGGTTGGTGTGAGTCAGTGGTTGGAGTGGGCCGGTTTTCAGTGTGGGTCAGTGGTCAGAGAGGGTCGGCAGTCGGTACAGGATGGTGATCAGAGGGGGGTTGGTGATCGGTGGGAGTTGTTGATCAGAGGAGGTTGATGGTTGGTGTGGGCTGGTAGTCGGTGGTCGGGGTGAATTGGTGGTCGGAGTGGGTAGGTGGTCAGTGCGTTTCAGTGCAGGTAGATGGTCAGAGGGGATCAGTTGTCGGTGCGGGAACATGGTTGGTGAGAGTCAGTCGTCAGAGGGGGTCGGTAGTCGATGCCAGTTGGTAGTCGGAGGTGGTCAGTGGTCAGTGCAGGACTGTGGTCGGAGAGGTGTCGGTGGTTGGTGAGGGTTGGTGGTTGTAGGGGAGTCGGTTGTCGGTGCGGGTCGGTGGTCAGTGCAAGTTGGTGGTTGGTGCAGGTTGGTGGTCGGTGCAGGTCGATAGTCGGTGCGAATCGGTGGTCAGTGGGAGTTGGTGTTCTGAGGGGGTCGATGGTTGGTGCGGGTCGGTGGCCGGAGTGGGTCTGTGGTCGGTGCGGGTAGGTGGTCGGAGGGGGTCGGTGGTCAGTGCGGAACTGTGATCGGTGCGAGTTAGTAGTCAGAGTGGGTCGGTGGTCAGTGCTGGTCGGTTGTCAGAGGAAGTCTGTGGTCGGTGCGGAATGGTGGTCGGACGGGGGTCGGTGGTCGGTGCGAGTAGGTGGTTGGTGTGAGTTGGTGGTTGGAGTGGGGTCGGTGGTTGGTGCGGGTTGGTAGTTGGTGGTCATTGCGAATTGATGGTCTGGGTGGGTCGGTGTTCAGTGCGAGTTGGTGGTCGGTGCAGGTAGGTGGTCAGAAGGGCTCGGTGGTCGGTGTAGGACTGTGGTTGGTGCGAGTCTGTAGTTGGAGGGTATTAGTAGTTGATGCTGGTCGGTAGTCGGAGGAAGTCGGTGGTTGGAGGGGAGGTCGGTGGTCGTTGCGAGTATGTGGTTGGTGTGAGTTGGTGGTCGGAGGGTGTCGGTGGTTAGTACGGGTCGGTCGTCGGTGGTCAGTGCGAGTTGGTGGTCGGAGTGGGTCGGTGTTCGGTACGGGTTGGTGGTCAGTGCAGTTAGGTGGTCGTAGGGGGTCGGTGGTCGGTGCGGGACTGTGGTCGGTGCGAGTCAGTGGTTGGAGGGGATCAGTAGTTGATGCCATTCAGTAGTTGGAGAAAGTCGGTGGTTAGTGGTGGTCGGTGGTCTGTACAGGTCGGTGGTCAGTGCGGGTCGGTGGTCGATGTGGGACTGTGGTGGGTGTGAGTCAATGGTAGGAGGGGGTCGGTGGTCGGTACGGGACGGTGGTCTGAGGGGGTCGGTAGTCAGTGCGGGTTAGTGGTCAGAGAGGGTCGGTGGTCAGTGCAGGTCGGTGGTAGGTACAGTTCGGTGGTCAGTGCGGGTCGATGGTCAGTGCTGGATGATGGTCGGTGCAGAGTTGGTGGTCGTAGGGGGTCGATGGTTGATGCGGGTCAGTAGTTGATGTAGGTAAGTGGTCGGAGGGGGTTCAGTGGTCGGTGCTAGTTGGTGGTCGGAGTGGGTCTGTGGTCGGTGCGGGTCGGCTGTCAGTGCAGGTAGGTGGTTGTAGGGGGGTCAGTGGTCGGTGCGGGACTGAGGTCGGTGCAAGTCAGTGGTTGGAGTGGGTCAGTGGTCAGCGCGTGTCAGGGGTCAGAGGGGGGTCAGTGTTCGGTGCAGGTTGGATGTCTTTGCGGGTTAGTACGGGTCGGTGATCGGAGGCGGTCGGACTTTGGTGCTGTTCGGTGATCGGTGATTGTCAGAGGTCAGTACTGGTCGGTGGTCGGAGGGGGTCGGTGGTCGGTGCAGGCCAGTGGTTGCTGCAGGTTATTGGTCAGTGGTCGGAGGGCGTCGGCGATCGGTGTAGGTCGGTGGTTGATGTGGGTTGGTAGTAGGAGGGGATCGGTGGTCGTTTCGGGTAGGTGGTCGGAGAGGGTCGGTGGTCGTTTCGGGTCAGTGGTCAGAGGGGGTCGATGGTCAGTACAGGTTGGTGGTCGGTGCGGGTCGATGGTTGGTGCGGTTCAGTGAGGGCTACAACCAAAAGCATCCACAGTATTTTCAGCTCAGTAACTAGTGAGTAGTTTAAAATGGATTTCATATGGTACTAAACATGCTATTAATACAAAAAGCAATATAACAAATAAAAAAGTATATATGTAGAAATAAATATATTCATAAGGAACATATTTTCTGTGAGTAGACCCCATTGGCATGATAATGTAAACAAACAGTCTGGCGGCGGCGGGATCAGAATAAGCCTCTCAGTATCTGTCATGTCACGACTTCCCACAGAATCGTTGGAAGCATAAAACCTTGCTTAAATCATCAAAAAGCCACCTGGTCTCAAAAAGATCTAGGGTAAATATCTAAGAATAAATATCAAGAATATCTAGGGTAAAGTGAAAGTCTAGGTAAAATCCACCAGTTTACTCCGGTGAACTTATATACATGACACCGCTCTATATACAACAAGCTATACCCATATCCACAACGAGTAAATGAATTAATCAATGCACAAGTCCAGCAGCTAGCTGTCACTAGGCCACAATCACCTAATAACAGTGGAACACCTGTCCACTTAAGACTGGCTACATTACACAAGCACATGCCAAGCATCTAGATGCTACTATGTACAGTTACCCAAATGACATTGGTACATCCTCTCTCCTGCCATCAGTAAAACTAAGTCCCCACGGGACTGACCAATGACCAAGTCTAAACTTTCCTTCAGAAAACCTAAGTCCCAACTGGACTGACAAATGGCAAAGTCTAGACTCTTCGTAATTTAGGCAGAGTTCACAATGACTGGAAAAGTGACCAAGTCAATTAATCTACAGAAGTATAAGTCCACAACGACAAGACAAATGACAAACACTCAACCTCTGTTCTGCTTGTAGCCAGCAGAAGGCTCATTCAGCCATATTTGCAAAATTAAATATGGTTTACTTTTACTACAATAACATTGTGGTAATGTTACTTAACACAATAACATTGTGGTAATGTTATTTTACACATTAACATTGTGTAATAACGTTAACACAATAACGCTATTCCATTGTGGTAATGTTATTGTGTACATGTACATACAGTTGTTATGTGCAATTCGAAAATTGTGCAAGAAATAAATTTTCAACACGTCTAATACCATTGCTACTTTTAAAATCTTTTAAGTTGCCCCTTCTGAACATGAACACGCCTCAGTAATGATAATTTTCTGTGTAACTATCATTGTAGAGAAACACCAAGTTGAGAGTAGACTTTTTTGTAGACAATAATTCATCTATTAAGACTATCAAATTATCACTCTTCTACCCACAGAGCAAGTAATTTTTGGAACTAAATATATTTAATAAGGCCCCTGCAAACTAATGGTTATCTCTAAATAAAATCTTCTTTCAACTTGGTGTTTTTCTGCCTATCTCTCAACACTTTATGCTCTGGTCAACCCTGAATCTTTGCCCCATATGTATCCACTCTCACTGACGTTTTTAGTATTACATTTCTCTGCGAGTACCACGGTCCCACTGCTTGCCATTGTATTTTACTGTGTACTACTGCCACAATAGCCAAAGAAGCTTGGTCATTCACCCCTTGGTATAAATTTGTACGTCAGGTGTACATTAAGAACCCTCTCACCTTGTACCTCAAGTGATATGCCACCAAAACTAGGCCATAACAAGGATGTATTATTGATGATGTTATTGCACCACTGTAATAATACAGTGGTGCATCCACTGTAATAATACAGTGGTGCATCCACTGTATTATTAATACAGTGAATGCACTACTGTATTATTCAAAGGGTTCCCTAAAATATTATCTTCATCATGATAGTTATTTTAATTTTGACGTAAAAAACATGGTACTTGCTGTTGACATGGAATTAATATATATATACAATACTAATACTGTTGTAATAAATATGGAATATTTGAATATTATTCCTTTAACTATTAACTGTTTAGTAGTAATCATTTGTCCAATTGTGCTGAAGACTCTTTATAGCACTTGCTTCCCTAACTTCTCTTCGTTTTCATTAATTGTTTTTTTATAGAAGTATCAGTGTTAACAAGTAATACATGTACTGTACCCAACTGTAATTTAAACTGATGCACTATGAAATAATTTGTATTAAATTTTCTAGGTTGGATGAGATTTTGCATACCATCGACTTGAAAGATGTATCAGCTGTAGCATTTCCGAAGTTGGCAGCCATGCAGGTGAACCTTCGCATCAAAAATGGATCAAAAGTTGAGTTGGATCTTACTCCACAGATCGTTGGTAAGTCTTGAAGAGAATAATAACAAATGGTGGGCAAGAGTGTTTCTGTGTCAGAGTGAAAGTCGTCTTAGGGTTAGTATTGTATATTATTTCATTAACACAGTAAATTTTTCTAATTATATTACTTCATTACCTGTAGGTAAAGTTATAATGTCAAATTGTTGTTTCATAGTTCTTTAATGACTTCCATAGTAAGTAGGTTCTTTAATGACATTCATGTGCATGGTAAGTGGTGTAGCAACTGTGTTAAGAGTAATAAAGTGTTTCAGATTCTCAGAAGTTCTATTACAGACAATTAAATGTTCCCGTAAATTCCACATAAATTATCCCTAAGAATCCACATTCCAAACAAATCTACAATAAATACTCAACCCTTGAACAGCGCAGCTATTAATGTTGAGCAAAATAAGATTTATTCACCAAATTTCGAATGAGAAATTCAAAGGAACGTGAATTTCTTGAACGATTTCACAGGTTTTCAAAATTCACTCCATCTGTGACACAGCCCACGTCAAGTCCAGCTCCTGCCACACATCTGCAGAGTGTCTTGGGTAACAGTGTGGCAGTAATGCTCTGCTGGAGATACTCTAGGCATGTAAGAAGACGGGGGACATTAGCCAATGGCCCCAGAGAAAAACATCGCAAGGTGTCAGGTTAGGAGAATGTGGCGGCCATATCAAAAGCACATTGCCTTTTTCACCAGCACGCCTGAGCCACCTTCCTGGCAGGTTCTCATTGAGATAATCCTGCACAGTGAGCGTCCAGTGAGGTGGAACCTCGTCCTGTTGAAGAATGAAACGTTTATGTTCAATTGCAATGAGCTCATCAATTAGCCAGTTCCGAAGCATGTGCAGATAAACATCGTCGATCACATTTCCCTTAAAGAAAAATGGGCCGTGACGATAATTCTTGGAGATAGCGCAGAACACATTCACTTGTCAGGTCTGCACAACTGAGATTCCTTTGTGCTGGACACCCAGCTGTAGCCAAACTTCTCTTGATGATGTCATTGACTGCTTCATGTCTGTCAATCTTTCCCTGTGTCTTACGATAGATGAGACCATGGCTGTCGTATTGGTTTGCCCGTGCATAGCCGCAAATACACCGGTGTTTGGTGGAGATAGGGGCAGCAAGGCGCAGGGCAATACTAATACTTAGGGCTCGATGGTCCAGGCAGGTGCTCAAGACGGAATTACTAGACTGCCATCAGGATGTTCCCAGCATGGGAAACTTGCACAACTAGAAGACGCGCTCTGTACTTCCCAGAAGCTACCTCCAACAATGTTGTGGCAATGTTCTTCACTATGAGGTTGTCACATTTGGCCTGTTTGCAGTCGTTTTGAAATGTAGGTCGAGGGTGAGGGTTGGCAAGATTTTCCCGATGTATATAATATATATATATACATATACATATACTCCATCTGTTATATATATATATATATATATATATATATATATATATATATATATATATATATATATATATATACATATACTCCATCTGTTATATATATATATATATGTATATATATATATATATATATATATATAAATATGCGAACAAGCCTGAATGGTCCCCAGGACAATATGCAACTGAAAACTCACACCCCAGAAGTGACTCGAACCCATACTCCCAGGAGCCACGCAACTGGTATGTACAAGATGCCTTAATCCACTTGACCATCACGACCGGACATAATGAGGTGATAGCCGAGGCTATTTGAACCACCCCACCGCCGGCACTCGGATAGTAATCTTGGGCATAGCATTTTACCAAATCACCTCATTCTTTGGGGCACACGTGAGGAACACAAATGCGAACAAGCCTGAATGGTCCCCAGGACAATATGCAACTGAAAACTCACACCCCAGAAGTGACTCGAACCCATACTCCCAGGAGCCACGCAACTGGTATGTACAAGACGCCTTAATCCACCTGACCATCACGACCGGACATAATGAGGTGATAGCCGAGGCTATTTGAACCACCCCACCGCCGGCACTCGGATAGTAATCTTGGGCATAGCATTTTACCAAATCACCTCATTCTTTGGGGCACACGTGAGGAACACAAATGCGAACAAGCCTGAATGGTCCCCAGGACAATATGCAACTGAAAACTCACACCCCAGAAGTGACTCGAACCCATACTCCCAGGAGCCACGCAACTGGTATGTACAAGACGCCTTAATCCACTTGACCATCACGACCGGACATAATGAGGTGATAGCCGAGGCTATTTGAACCACCCCACCGCCGGCACTCGGATAGTAATCTTGGGCATAGCATTTTACCAAATCACCTCATTCTTTGGGGCACACGTGAGGAACACAAATGCGAACAAGCCTGAATGGTCCCCAGGACAATATGCAACTGAAAACTCACACCCCAGAAGTGACTCGAACCCATACTCCCATACTTATTGTCCTGGGGACCATTCAGGCTTGTTCGCATTTGTGTTCCTCACGTGTGCCCCAAAGAATGAGGTGATTTGGTAAAATGCTATGCCCAAGATTACTATCCGAGTGCCGGCGGTGGGGTGGTTCAAATAGCCTCGGCTATCACCTCATTATGTCCGGTCGTGATGGTCAAGTGGATTAAGGCGTCTTGTACATACCAGTTGCGTGGCTCCTGGGAGTATGGGTTCGAGTCACTTCTGGGGTGTGAGTTTTCAGTTGCATATTGTCCTGGGGACCATTCAGGCTTGTTCGCATTTGTGTTCCTCACGTGTGCCCCAAAGAATGAGGTGATTTGGTAAAATGCTATGCCCAAGATTACTATCTGAGTGCCGGCGGTGGGGTGGTTCAAATAGCCTCGGCTATCACCTCATTATGTCCGGTCGTGATGGTCAAGTGGATTAAGGCGTCTTGTACATACCAGTTGCGTGGCTCCTGGGAGTATGGGTTCGAGTCACTTCTGGGGTGTGAGTTTTCAGTTGCATATTGTCCTGGGGACCATTCAGGCTTGTTCGCATTTGTGTTCCTCACGTGTGCCCCAAAGAATGAGGTGATTTGGTAAAATGCTCTGCCCAAGATTACTATCCGAGTGCCGGCGGTGGGGTGGTTCAAATAGCCTCGGCTATCACCTCATTATGTCCGGTCGTGATGGTCAAGTGGATTAAGGCGTCTTGTACATACCAGTTGCGTGGCTCCTGGGAGTATGGGTTCGAGTCACTTCTGGGGTGTGAGTTTTCAGTTGCATATTGTCCTGGGGACCATTCAGGCTTGTTCGCATTTGTGTTCCTCACGTGTGCCCCAAAGAATGAGGTGATTTGGTAAAATGCTATGCCCAAGATTACTATCCGAGTGCCGGCGGTGGGGTGGTTCAAACAGCCTCGGCTATCACCTCATTATGTCCGGTCGTGATGGTCAAGTGGATTAAGGCGTCTTGTACATACCAGTTGCGTGGCTCCTGGGAGTATGGGTTCGAGTCACTTCTGGGGTGTGAGTTTTCAGTTGCATATTGTCCTGGGGACCATTCAGGCTTGTTCGCATTTGTGTTCCTCACGTGTGCCCCAAAGAATGAGGTGATTTGGTAAAATGCTATGCCCAAGATTACTATCCGAGTGCCGGCGGTGGGGTGGTTCAAATAGCCTCGGCTATCACCTCATTATGTCCGGTCGTGATGGTCAAGTGGATTAAGGCGTCTTGTACATACCAGTTGCATGGCTCCTGGGAGTATGGGTTCGAGTCACTTCTGGGGTGTGAGTTTTCAGTTATATATAAATATATATATATATATATATATATATATATATATATATATATATATATATATATATATATATATATATATATATATGACAATGTTCAGACCACCTTCTGAAGATGTATTTAATATACGAAAGTACTTAAGGAAATTTCCTGTTTCATTTTTCCTCCGTGGTCTGACATTGTCACATTCTTAATCACGTGTTTATTTTCGTGATATACACACATATATATATATATATATATATATATATATATATATATATATATATATATATATATATATATATATATATATATATATATATATATATATATATATATATATATATATATATATATATATATATATATATATATATATATATATATATATATATATATATAACCTTAGAACACTTTCCCACCAGAAGATTCGAACCCTAGCCAGCACAGAAGCCTTACAGCAACTGGCATAACTGGTAAGCCTTTAACCAACTGCACCACAGCTCAGACCCTTAAAAGAGATGGTAATTTCGGAGTATTTCACCTCCAAAGATGACCACCTCCCAAGGGCAACTAGAGCATAGTGAGGGGCTACTCACTTTCTTTCATCAAATTCCTGTTAATATGGGAGAACTCTGTGTCTATGCCTCTGCCTCTGTAATGCCTCTGTATGAGATACTGGTTGTGTCACTGTCATGTTCATAGCAAACGGTGCCATCCGTTTGTATGTGCTGCGTTTTATACGCCAGCAGTATGTTAACAACAGGAGAGCATGCAGGACACCCGTCACTCTTGGCTGCTATTCATGTACCATTATAATAAGTATTACAGTCAGTAACCAAGCAATGGCTTTACATCAACCCTACAACCAAGGCCACCCACAGCAACACACAACACCACACTGGTAACGAGGATGAACAGTGAACGGAGGTATTCGTCATGCTCAACGCACAAGAGAGAAGCATACTGTCTCGCCTGTATCGCCAGGAGGAGGAGGAGGAGGAGGAGGAGGATAAAACATGCTGTCTGCGAGCATCATACCAATGCTGTGTGCTAACCAATGCTATGTGCTAACCAATGCTGTGTGCTATCAATGCTTTGTGCTAACCAATTCTGTGTGCTACCAATGTTATGTGCCAACTGAAGCTGTGTGCTGACTGAAGCTGTGTGCTGACTGAAGCTGTGTGCTGACTGAAGCTGTGTGCTGACTGTAGCTGTGTGCTTATTGAAGCTGTGTGCTGACTGAAGCTATGTGCTGAGGAAGCTATGTGCAAACTGAAGGTATGTGATGTCTACCGATGCTGT